AAAGTAAAACTAAACTTGCTGTCGGTGACAGTGCTTGCATGTTTTTGTCCCACAAGAATACCAACATGTTCACCTTTGGTTTAAGAAGTGGTCTTTTACTTTACTTTAGCATGAAACCCATCCATCGTTTCCTCAATATTCACGTCATTTTTGCTGCACGCAGCTTCGCGCTTCTGACGTAGCGAGTATAAACCAGGCTCTACACTCGAAGCGCTGCGCAGCTCAAACGAGTCGCGCGGTTTCGTTAGCCGTTTGATGTTTCTCATATGCAACAGAATTGCAGTGCTTATGAGTTAAACAATGCGGTGGTCGCGCCTGTGCGACCGCACACAAAATTTAGTCGCACCGGCAGAAAAAATTATCGCAAAATGCGCCCATTTGGTCGCAAACTGGAGCCCTGTGCAGTACAGTATTTATTTATCCTCAGTTGTTTAAATCGCGGTAATCGAATACGGTTATAGTGATAATTAAAATATGAAACGGTAATACTAACCGTGGTGTGTTTTATCACGATTTATCGTCAAACTGGTAATCGTTACATCCCTATTCTGGTCTACCACTATTTTCTTCATGTAGGCTAGATTGACATGCTCTGTTCTACTGTAATGAAGTTCTGCATTCTACTCTATTCTATTCTATTCTATTCTATTCCATTTCACTGTTCTACTATACTCCACTGTACTCATCTATTTTCAAAATCTATTCTAGACTGTAATTTTCTACTGCACTGTGGTCCTTCTATTCTATTCTATTCTATTCTACTCCACTGTACTCATCTATTCTCAAAATGTGTTCTAGACTGTTATTTTCTACTGCACTGTGGTCCTTCTATTCTATTCTACTCCACTGCACTCATCTATTCTAGACTGTTATTTTCTACTGCACTGCGGTCCTTCTATTCTATTCTACTCCACTGTTCTACTATACTCCACTGTACTCATCTGTTCTCAAAATCTATTCTAGACTGTTATTTTCTACTGCACTGCGGTTCTTCTATTCTATTCTGTTCTATTCTATTCTATTCTACTCCACTGTACTCATCTATTCTCGAAATCTATTCTAGACTGTTATTTTCTACTGCACTGCGGTTCTTCTATTCTATTCTGTTCTATTCTATTCTATTCTACTCCACTGTACTCATCTCTTCTCAAAATGTATTCTAGACTGTTATTTTCTACTGCACTGTGGTCCTTCTATTCTATTCTGTTCTATTCTATTCTACTCCACTGTACTCCTCTATTCTCAAAATGTATTCTAGACTGTTATTTTCTACTGCACTGCGGTCCTTCTATTCTGTTCTGTTCTGTTCTATTATATTAATCTCTAGTAAAATCTATTCTAGACTGTTATTTTCTACTGCACTGTGGTCCTTCTATTCTATTCTACTCCACTGTACTCATCTGTTCTCAAAATCTATTCTAGACTGTTATTTTCTACTGCACTGTGGTCCTTCTATTCTATTCTACTCCACTGTACTCATCTGTTCTCAAAATCTATTCTAGACTGTTATTTTCTACTGCACTGTGGTCCTTCTATTCTATTCTACTCCACTGTACTCATCTGTTCTCAAAATCTATTCTAGACTGTTATTTTCTACTGCACTGTGGTCCTTCTATTCTATTCTACTCCACTGTACTCATCTGTTCTCAAAATCTATTCTAGACTGTTATTTTCTACTGCACTGTGGTCCTTCTATTCTATTCTACTCCACTGTACTCATCTGTTCTCAAAATCTATTCTAGACTGTTATTTTCTACTGCACTGTGGTCCTTCTATTCTATTCTACTCCACTGTACTCATCTGTTCTCAAAATCTATTCTAGACTGTTATTTTCTACTGCACTGTGGTCCTTCTATTCTATTCTACTCCACTGTACTCATCTGTTCTCAAAATCTATTCTAGACTGTTATTTTCTACTGCACTGTGGTCCTTCTATTCTATTCTACTCCACTGTACTCATCTGTTCTCAAAATCTATTCTAGACTGTTATTTTCTACTGCACTGCGGTCCTTCTATTCTGTTCTGTTCTGTTCTATTATATTAATCTCTAGTTTATTTTATTTCACTCTGCTACTATTTTCTCCACCTAGGCTAGATTGGTATTTTCTGTTCTACTGCACAGAAGTTCTGCATTCTATTCTATTCTCTAGTGAGTGTCTGGGCTGTGGTCGATGTCATTGTTTTATTGAGGTCATCAGCTGTAGTTTTATTAAACGAGACGACTGTAAAATGGCAAAGCTTCAGTAACAGAGTCCTGCTGTACGACGCTCATTGAATTTGCGTCGTTCTCCTGGGCTTGAGCTCTTCAGGGACTGAATCTCAGTGTTCAGTAGGGCAGTAGGTGACGCTCTCTGCAGCTGTGTGTGTGTGTTTGTGCAGACTGCAATGCTGTTATTTCCTCCAGCTCATGTAGGGAATTATCAGCGTGTATGGCGAGAGCTCTAGGGGACGGCGCTCGCATGCTTTTTATTTCAATAAGTATCAGTTGTTATTTTGCCACCCGCTCCACTAACTGTGCCATGACGTGCCGGCTAATGCATTTACCCTCGTGAGTAAACTCATACATACTCAGGAGGGTTCAAACACGCCAGGTGCACGTGTCGCATGCCTCCCCTGCGGTTACTACAGACACAGAAACACATGTGACCTTACATACACACGCACTGTAACCTGCTGTACGGTCTGATGAGACATGAAGGTCTTAAAATGCAGCTTTGCTCTTGAGGGATTGTCACTCCTAGGCCAAGATTTTGCTGAAATATCAACAACCTGTTACTAGTGCTCAGTATTAGAGGTTTCACTTCACTAAGTCTTGAAGTTGAGTAAGTGCAGCATTTATGGTTTCTCAAATCGTGTGTGTTGAGGATGTGAATGTGCTGTTGCTTTACTAAGTGATCAGATGCACCTGCTGGACCAGAAAACAGCAGAAAAAATCCCACAGATGCACACTGAAGGAGGAACCAGAGCCCTGTTTACAGACCAGAAGATCACTGAGACTTGAGGGTTATTATTACAGGGTTATTATAGTTAACTAAAACCATATAACATTTTTGTTACTTGAAATTAATTTGAACTGAAATTAAATGAAATATTTCAGCTAGTTTCCAAAGCAACATTTGTTTAACTTGATGTGCTAAAATAACTAAAACTAAAACTGAAATAAAAATATAAACAAAAGCTATACAAAAACACACAACAAAATTACTTAAATTAACTAAAATTAAAATGAAACATACAATTTAAGAAATAAAAAAATATTATACCAGTATCTCACTGAAATATCACAGATTTAAAGAATATTTTGCTGTGTATATACAAAATTTAATATTTTAATTAAGCTGAATTTTTATAAAATATTTGTATTTATTATAATTGTATTTATTATATTATTTTGATGAATGTTGAAGCTGCCATGTGAAGCTGATACGGCAATACAATTAAATACAACCAACCAACTAAAACGGAATTGCATGTACATTTATGCATTTAGCTGGGGCTTTTATCCAAAGCAACATCACAGAGAATTAATCAACAATATTCATAATATACCATGCCAGGTTTATTAGAAAACTAAATTAGGAAGCAAACCAGTTTTTGTTGTTTGAAATGAAACCATTTGAAATTAAACTCTTCTTTAAAGCTTTTACTCCGTGTTTTATCTTCTCCTCTCAGGTAAATGTTGAGGACGGCAGCGACATGTTACCTAAATCCAGACGAGCTCTCACCATTCAAGAGATCGCAGCGCTGGCCAGATCTTCACTTCACGGTAAACTTTCTTACTGACTTTCGTTGATTTCATTGACAATAATTGTGATCCTACACCCAAACCTTACTGCTTGCATATTTATTGAAATATGTGCATGTTTATTTACAGGAATATTTGCAATTAACAATGTTTGTCTTTGTAATCTGTCATCAAAATATAATTCATTTGCACAGCCTCCAAAACAAATGCAAACAAAAAATAAATTTTAATAAAACGGGTATGTATTTCAGTCTTTCTACTTCAAAATTTCATGTTTAATTTAATGTGTTTCTGAGTGAAAAATGTTTCTGCATCAAATTTAGATGTAGACCTCGTGGGATACAGATTAATGTTAATGTTAACCAATAGTCAAATATCTATTTAGTTTATTTTAGGATGCTGTTGTCGGTGATGCATCCTTTTTTTTATTTTTTATGGTCAATATTTAACCGTAATTTAATGCTGGTTAACTTTCATGTTAACCAATAGTCAAATATCTAGTTTATTTTAGACTGATGCTGTAGGAGATGTACCTTTTTATAACCTTGTTAGTAGTTAAAATGCATTAATTTCGTGCAGATTAGTGTTAATGTTAGCCAAAAGTCAAATATCTTTTTAGTTTAATTTTAAGTTGTTGGTGATGCATCTTTTTAAAAACCTTGTCAATAGTTAATGCAGTAATTTAATGCTGATTAATGATCGTGAAATAAAAGGTACGGCAATAATGGCAAATAACAATAGATGAACATGAAGCGTCTCAACTGAGATGCTGTATTGTTCTCCGGTCATTTGGTCTCCATAAAGATCACAAAACCTGACCCTCACACACACTGTGAATACAAGAGATCACAGCTCACTAGATCTTCACGGTAAACACACACACACATGCTTTCATTGCACGTGACGAGTCCTTTGTGTCGTACTGATTGACAGCATGACCTGGATTATTCCTCCTGTATTATGCAGCATTCGGGTCACTGACCCCTGCATGTGTGTGTGTTCAGGTTTCTCGCAGGTGGTCAAAGATCATGTGACGAAGCCCACGGCGATGGCGCAGGGCCGCGTGGCTCACCTGATCGAGTGGAAGGGCTGGTGTAAACCCACCGACACGCCTAGCGCCCTCGAGTCACACCTCACGTCATACTCGCATCTGTCCGAGGGCGAGCAGGAGGCGCGATTCGCTGCAGGGCAGTGACTGCACACACAGTTACACACACACACACAGACACACACACAGACACAGACATACACACACACAGACACAGACATACACACACACACACACACACAGACACACACAGTTACACACACACTCACACACACAGACATACACACACAATGTGTTATCAGTATATATGTTTGTTTGTCCAAGTGATTAAATGTTTGGCACATGTAAATATTGTCACTTTCTTTACTTAGCCTATGTTTTTTACAGTGTAGACAAGATAGCGGCATGTAATTTCTATTTGCTTTTGACGCGATGCAACACTTGCATTCAGACAGAAAAAAAAAAATTTTCACCATGTTTTAGGAGTAAAATGTTCTATAAACGAGTGTGAAAGATATATAAACAAACCCCTCAGTAAGAACCTTCAGAATATAGAGAGGAATAAAACTGCTAAGTTTAGTGTATCTAAGTGCTGCTGCAGTGGAGAAACTCATTTTGAGAAAATGGCCTTTAAAGATATCTACAAATGAAAAAATAGATAGTGTAAAAATAAAAGCATGTAAATGGTATATGAACAAATCCCTCAGTGAAAACCTTCAGGATATAGATTGGAATAAAACTCTAGCAGCAGCACTTACATACTCCAAAACTTAAAAGATATGGATTGTAATTGAAATCTACAGACGTAAATAGATGAAGTGTAATAAAATAAACACTTAAATGCGTATTTTTGATGATTTCCTTCTACTAGTCAGAAACAGCATGTTATGAAAAGCCACACAGCCCAAAATCTCAAAGTTGACCAGTGCACTAAAAAAAAAAACTAGTTTTGACTGTAGTGACTTGCCTTTTCAAAGTAAACAGGTGTTTCAAACAACTTAAACTGCAAAAACACAACTATAATACCTATATTTTAGATATGTAAATATAAGAAAAATATGTATGTTAATAAAGGTTTGAAAATAAATATAAAGTACTTAAGTATTTGGTGTTGTTTGATAAACATCATATTAAATGCAAAAATCTGAACGGCTGTTTGAAAACCTGTAAATACTGTTTTACTACTTTTCTTCTCAGTGCGTCCCAATTTACGTACTTGCGCACTATTCCACTTTTTTAAAAATTTTTTTATAGAAAGTGTGAGAAGTGTGTTCACACTGAAAAATCCAAAAAGAGAAGCGCACTTTAAATACAGGATGCATGTGATTAACTGAAAAACTAAGTGTGGGATACAATTGGGACAACAAATGTATATTTTATTTTTTGTATTGCAGTTTTGCACCTGTATTGAGATTTTGATTTATTTTGCTTATTGTATTTTATTTATTTTTAATTTTATTTTGAAGTAATTGACCAGCAAGTCGAGCTCATGAGTTATTCCCATCTACTGTATGTACTGTATGAAAAATAAATAAATAAATAAAAAAAAAAATATATATGTATATTTTGTTTATTAACATAGTACAATATCTGCATTGATACATGTACATGATTCCATAGGCATACTGTTTTTATAAAAACAAGCAATAAGAACATCTACCTGTTACTCTCTTGTGGAAGGAAGGTGCACAATGACGAAGGTAATCCAATATAACATTTAATAATAATCCTAGATGATGAAGATCCATTCAAAACACATGGAAAAAAAAGCAGCATACACAAATACAATACAATAACCAGCAAGGACCGAACAGAAACGAGGAGTACTTATACAAAAGCAAGAGAGGGACTAATGACTAAATTAACCCTTTGAGCGGTACGGTCCCACATATGTGATTTTTATTTCCGTGCCCCTGGGAGTACGGTCC